GTAGGAGCAGGAGCAGGAGTAGTCGTAGTAGTCGTCGTCGTAGTAGAAGAAGAAGTAGAAGAAGACGTAGTAGTAGTAGTAGTAGTAGTAGTAGTAGTAGTAGTAGTAGCAGTAGTAGTCGTCGTAATCATAAGAAGAATATTGATATTTCTACCTATACGAACACCCTTCGGGTGATAAGGAGGTTCGGGGGGGGGGAGGAATCAACGTCTCACTCGATCGGTTTCACTATCGATCTCACTATCGATCTCAGTATCGGTCTCGCTCGATCGATCTCCCTCGATTGATCTCACAATCGATCTCACAATCGATCTTACTCGATCTCACTCGATCTATCTCACACTCGATCTCACTCGATGATCATCATCATCATCATCATCATCATCGTCCTCATCATCATCAGCATCATCATCATCATCAGCATCACCATCATCATCATCATCAGCATCAACATCAGCATCAGCATCATCAGCAGCATCATCATCAGCATCACCATCATCATCATCATCATCATCATCATCATCATCATCATCATCATCATCATCATCATCTCATCATCATGATCATGATCATCATCATCATCATCATCATCATCATCATCATCATCGACCGCGGGACACCGGCGGGACACCGCGGGGCACCGCGGGACACCGCGGGACACCGCGGGACACCGGCGGGACACCGCGGGCCACCGGCCGCCCGGAATGGAGACATTTGGTCCGGCCGCGCCTCAGCCACACGGGACACCAGCGGGACACCGGCGGGACACCGCGGGCCACCGGCCGCCCGGAAGGGAGACATTTGGTCGGCCGCGCCTCAGCCACAGGAGACTTTCTTCTCGCCCGCCCACGCAGCTTCGCCTCGCCCGCACGCACGGCACGCACGAACACGAAACCGAAATCGATTTCCCGGTAGGGGGGCTCTCCGTTCCACTTCGATCTCACCCCCTCACCTCCGATGAACGTAAGTGGGATGAGGAGGACGAGGAGGGGGAGCGAGGAGCAGAGGAGAAGGAGGATGATGAGGAGGAGGAGGAGGTGGACGAGGAGTACGATTGCGTCGGGTATGTGTTACAATTCTTGCTTTCGAGGTCACTTAGTGAGCCGCATTCTTCCCAGTGGTGTGTGTCGTGCCGCCGATGCGTGCTGCAGGGCTCCAGCAGTTCTTCCCCCTTCTTATCGAACCCGGGTCTACGACTGCCCCCTCCGCCTCCGTTACGTCTCACGCTTCTGCTGCTGCCGCGCTCCACTTCTTATCCTTCGGGGGCCCGCTGCGGACGCTGCAGGACGCCACTGCCGCGGCGCCCCTGCGGTCTGCGGGCGTGCTCCCCCTCGGCCTGGCGCCGCCGAGCCAGGCCATCGACGACGCCATCCAGGCCAGCTACAACAAGAGCGACGCGATGTGCAAGGGCATGGAGTGCATCGTGAACTGTGCGGCCGAGCTCGGCTGCCTCGACGCGGACCGGCAGGGGGTGGGCCCAGCGGGGCGGGAGGGGTGCAGTGAGCACGAGGGGGTGCAGTGAGCACGATGTTGGATGCCGAGCGGGCTGCGCGGGCGCCAGGACAAACGTCGCGGCGGCGACGGGCGGCGGCGACGGTCGGCTGCGACGGCTGGCGAAAAATCACGCTCAGAGACCCAGACCAATCGGAGCGACGCAAAAAAACGGGTCGTCTGCGCCGACATTGCCGCGCAAGCTACCCGCGTCAGGTCAAGCGCGCTCGTCCTCAATGGCCCGCGTAAGCCACCGCGTAAGGCCGCTACGTCATCTCGCGTGAGACCCGTTCCTGTTTCGTCGCTCACTTGTCTTCCCTGGGATCCTGGCGTCCCAGTTTTCTTCGAGCCGCGCGTTTTCTCGCCCTTCTTCAGGCCCTGGGGCCCTCGCAGATCGATCCGGCTCGAGGAATGGCGCAGACGGATGGTGTCTGTAGGGCTCTGGGCGTGATACTTCCTGCGATGCTGCAACTTTGTTCGCTCCGACGGATCTCAGGCGTTCTGCGTCGTTTTTCGGCCGCATCGGTCGGCGAAGGTCCTTGGCCCGAGGCCAGTGCAGCGGCTCCTGCGGTGCCCTTCCTGGCTCGCACGCCAGGCGATGTGCGAAGAACGGTGTAAAACACGTCGCCGTCGTCGTCGCCGTCGTCGTCGTCGTCGTTGTCGTCGTCGTCGCCATTGTCGTCGTCGTCGTCGTCGTCGTCGTCGTCGTCGTCGTCGCTCGTGTCGTCGTCGCTGGCGTCGTCGGTGTCGTTGTCGTCGTCGGCGTCAACGGCGATCTCGGGGCACGGTGAAAGGTTGTTCGGCTCCACCGCAACCCACGCGCACTTAATCCCTGTTTGCGCCTCCTCGAGGGAGGCCCCGGGCACCGCCGCGGGGCCCTTTTGGGCGCGGCCCACGCCCTTTTGGGCGCTCGGCTCGGAGGCCGCGGGGGCGCGGGAGGTCACGAGCGGCGCGGGGATCCGGACTCTCCACCTCCCAAACTGTCCGACCAGCAGAGGGCTGGTTTGGTCATCTCCCTGAGGAAGCTTCAAACAATGAAACTTTTCGGAGCTCCGCGCAGGTTTCTTGGATCGGCGCCGAATCTCCAGGCGGCGCCCCGGCGCCGCCCCTAGCACAGCACGCTCCGCATGCCAGGGTCCAGCGCAGATCCCAAAAACTTCTCGCAAGTTTGCACGTGTGTGTGTGTGTGTATGTGTGTGTATGCGAATACCTCCACCTCCGCCTTCCATACCTCCCGACCTCCCCAGAAGGTGCGGAAGAGTTAATCGAAACTCATGGAAACCTTACATAGTTCAAGGAAGTACACATACATCATATCGAAACAGGGGCAGCAGGCTAGGGCGGAAACTCCAGAATAATGTGGGGGAGGGGTTTTTGCCCCTCGAGAAGATCGCGAGATCAGCCGCCTGCTGGTCGGAAGGAGTGGGAGGGTGCAGGATGTCAGGGGAGGCGCGCGGGCCCCTGAGACCCAGGCGCCACAATTGCCCAACAACGGGCGACTGAACCGCCTTGGGATATGCGCCCCCGATGGCAGCACGACGAGCGACGACGACACCAGCGGCGACGACGCGAGCGACGACGACGACGACGACGACGACGACGTCGACGACGACGTCGACGTCGACGACACGAACGACAACGACGACGACGACGACGACGACGACGACGACGACGACGACGACGACGACGACGACGACGACGACGACGACGACGGCGGCGGCGGCGGCGGCGGCGGCGGCGGCGACGACGGCGACGGCGACGGCGACGACGGCGGCGACGGCGACGTGTTTTGCACCGTTCTTCGCACATCGCCTGGCGTGCGAGCCAGGAAGGGCACCGCAGGAGCCGCTGCACTGCGGAGGGCCCCTTTGCCAGGGCGCGGGGCAGCTCTGCGCTGCCCAGGCGCTGCAGCCCATCCACACGGGGCCGCTCTCGCGTGGCCTCGGGCCACGGACCTTCGCAGACCGATGCGGCCGAAAAACGACGCAGAACGCCTGAGATCCGTCGGAGCGGAGAAGAAGCTGCAGCATCGTGGGAAACGTCACGCCCAGAGCCCTACAGACACCATCCGTCTGCACCACTCCTCGAGCCGGGATCGAGCTGCGAGGGCCCCGGGGCCCGAGGGAGGGCGAGAAAGCGCCCGGCTCGAAGAGAACTGGGGCGCCAGGATCCCAGGGTACCGCGTTCGGGCGGCGCCAGAGGGGAGTCCAGACATGGTACCCAGAGATCCGATGTCGCGATTTTTTCAATGCGGGGTCCCTGGAAGTCTCGACCCATTCCCCAGGACCGGTTTTTCATCCTGAGTCGTTTTTTGACGGTCCCGGGGCCCGGCGACGGCCCCGCGAGGCCGAAAATTGCGAAAAACTTTCGTCTTGATTTTTTCAATGCGCTGGATCTCTGGGGAGGGGAGCTTAAACATGGTAGGGTGCAAGGAGCACCGCCCGGGAGAGCGCCCCGCGCGCCGCGCGGCCCACCGGCCGCAGCGGCGGACGCCCCGGGCTCCGGGGCCAGTGTCCGGTAGCGGCCCCTCTCGCGGGCGAGCCCTCCTCGGTCGCTCCTCGTCGTCGGCCCCCTATAGAAGAGCGCCAATATTAAGTCGGGCGTGCCCCTCTACAGGAGGAGTGGCAAAGACAGTTCCAAACTAGTCAGGGGGCGATTTGTGGATTATCTGTACTGTTGAGCGTTATTTGACAATTCTTGTTTTTGTCCAAAATCTGCCTGTCGGAGGACACGCCCGACCTAACACCAATACCAAAACCGTGAAACGTGTTCAACATCGATGATTGCTCCCTCATCCTGCCACCGGTTAACTCACGCTCTCCGTGGTCCAGACCACCTGAGCGCGCGTGCGGACTGCGTCTGTCGCGCCGCGACGTAAAAGTTGTTCAACGATCGATGGTCATGATGCTGCCGACGGTGAATACATACTGCTACTCCACGTGCGATGAGATTCGGCATGACAGGCCATGGACAGTGCAGGCAGAGAAAAACGAAATGCTGAAGGGTGTCGGAGACGCCCTTGCAGAGATGATCGCCACCCTGGTCAATGAAAATAAAATGGTTGACCCGCGCGCGCAGACGCCAGACAGTTGGAAGCGATCTTCAATTATCGTCCTGTTCAAGGACGGCGACCCTCGCTTGTCTGGACACTATCGCCCAATTAATTACGATCATACCATTATTCTACAAGCTTTTTCAGTATATTATTATGGCGACGCGTGACGCCAGTCTGGGACGCGGCACAAGGTGCTGATGAGGCAGGGTTTCGTACGGAGTACAGCACAAAAGGATCATATTATTGCATGCGCGCTGCTTCAGGAAACTTGCGAGATTTCCATGTGAGATGTCCCCGTGAGATCTCCATATGAGGGAGGCCGCTTTGGATTTCCACGTGAGATCTTCCCAAAAACGGTCGACATCAGTTCGCGCGACAGCATCTGGGCAGCGCTTTTGAGACAGGGAATGCCGAGGCCGTATGTTGCACGATTACAAAAGATGTACTCTTCTCAGAAAGGAATGGTTCATCTTGATTGTCGAAGCCGCGAGTTTTGCATTAGAAGGTGTTCAAAACACGGGGGCCTTTTGACTCCGGTACTCCTCAACGCGGTGTTGGAACTTATTTCTTGGCCGGTCATTGCGCCGTGGACGAACAGGTATTTGGCTTATCACTGAATGGTGAATGGTTGACGAGCTTGCGTTTTGGAGAAGTTGTGCTGTCTTTGAGCAGTACCTTGCCGGGTCTGAAGCGCATGCTTGCGGACGTGGCTCCGGCATGTGCGAATTTCGGTTTGCTTCGATATCCTGGGGAAACCAATCGACTTGCGAACGTGCGGGCTAGGAAAGGTGAGGCGGGTGACGCTCACGTCATGGTCAATCTGATGCACATTGAGTTGTTGCAGTGCGATGCGGCCACCAAATATCTCGGCAAGAACACATGATTTCAAGATTTGCAGGATGTGGAGAAATCTTGTGTTTCCAAGGATGAGCTTGCGAACGCAAATGTTCCACTTCGTTCGAGGTTGCGGCTGTTCGACTCCTGGGCCACCCCGCGCGCGCTATACGGCGCATCTTGCCGGACGCTGACAGCGACATGGAGAGGGGGTTTTTGAAGAGCCAACACTACAACCCGGGGCGCAAACAAATGCCTGAAGGATGTCGGCATCGCCGTTTGGACGGCGCAGTGCAGAGCTTGCAAGTGGAAGCTGGCAGGGCAGTTCCTGCCAAGTGATGCGCGCAAGTGGTCTTGCAAGGTGCCGTCGTGGAGCCCAGGCCATGCCCGGAGCAAGGGGGGGCGCGTCGGGCGCCCTGCAAGGTGGGCCGACGGCTCAGTAGACACGCGTGGCCAAAACTGGGCAAGCGCGGCCAGGAATCAGAAGGGGTAGGCTGAATTTGAACGTCGTTTTGCCGCACACTGAACACTGAGCTTTTCGTCGTTATTTCTTCCTCAAGACCGTGGGCGGGCCCGCCTGCCTGCGCGCGGCGCGCCGCTCTCTCTTTGATTGGGGCCAGTCTGACTGTGCAGGGCTCGAGTGGAGTCGAGAATGGTCACGATGCGGCTGCCCTGGATGGCCCCGCTGCAGCGTGCGGGGGCGCCTTTGCGCACCGACCTGAAGCAGCGCGGGCAAGCGCAACCCGCGGGGCCAAGGTGCAGTAGATGCGGGAACATCGGGCTGCGCTGACTGACGCAAAGCCCCGATTGCCACCGGGCTGCCTTCCCCGACGCGCGAAGAAAATCCACCCAGAGTCAACCGAAGCGCACGGGCGCGCCCCCCGCCTCTCCAGCCCCCTCGCCATCCCCAGATCCCCCGCCGCGCGCCAGGCGCTGCGGCCTGCTGGGAGAAGACCCCCGGCCTTTTCGACCGACGTACTGCCTTGGCCGAAGACGACCTTCCGCGGCCCATCCCGAGACGGCCGCAGGAGGATTCAGAAAGGGCCCGCATCAGGACTGCACTGGCGACCAAGGGGCCTGGTGGGATTATGCTGTCGTGGGCGGCGCCTGCTCGCGCCGAGCGCAGACTCTCCCCCGAACCGTCGGCTCAACTACTCTGCCAGCGTGCACCGTTCGGCGCCGTCGGCCGCAGCGGGCCGAGATGTTTGCCGCGCGTCGCCCTGTCACCATGGCGGAACGACCAGCGCGTGCGCATGTCCAACCTGGCGGCCGCTGACGGACGCGAAGGCCCCCTCCTGGGTGAACCGCCGCGGCGCGAGGGGCCCCGAGCGGGCCGCTAGCAGGAGCCCACGCGCCCGACATGCTCAAAGTCGGGTGGGAAGTCACTCGGGGTAGCGAAGCGTCTACGAGGAGCGCGTCGCTCCGATAGCTGGAGCCCTCAACCTCCACGCTGGCGAACTCGCCGCTCCGGGGGCGCGGCTCCGCAGCGCTCGACGCGGCGTGGTTGGCGCTGCCCTGTGGCGGCCCAAGTCTGTCCCGCCCTCCGCGGCGCGGCCGTCGCCGTGCGCCGGGGGGCCCCCCTGCCTCGCGGGGGAGCCGGGCAATCCAGGCCCGATCTCTCTCGCGCAATTCGGGGCCCGCCCGCCATCGGTCCCGGGGGCCTGGGCGCAGGTGCGCGCGGCGGGCCGCCTCGGCCCAGGGGCCCGCCAGACGGCGCCACTTCGACGAAGTCGACGGCCATTGGTCGCCGCCGCCGGACGACTTCGACGGCGAGGACCTCGACCCGCTCGGGCATGGGGCCTCGCCGCGCGATGATGGAGCAAACGGCCCCCCTCCTCGGAGCCATTTCTAGGCGATCGCAACGGAATCGAGGGCCGCCCCGACGTGCGCAGCCATGTTTTTTTTTTTCCCCCCCCCCCTCTTTCTCTTTCTCTTTCTCTTTCTCTTTCTCTTTCTCTTTCTTTTTCTCTTTTTTCCCCTCTCTCTCTCTCGCCCGCGCGCTTAGGCGTGTGACTTAGCGTAGCTCAGCTCTCTCTCTCTCTCTCTCTTTCTCTCTCTTTTTTTTTTTTTTTTCTCTCTCTCTCTCTCTCTCTCCCATCTCTCTCTCTCTCTTTCTCTCTCTCTCTCTCTCATTCTCTCTCTCTCTTTCTCTCTATCTCTCTCACTTTCTTCTTCTTCCTCTCTTGGCCAGCCGCCGACCGCTCGGGGGCGTCGGGCGCCGGCGGCCCCCCCGACCCTTCGCGTCGACCCGTTCCCCCACGCGGCCCGCCGGGGTTTCGGCGGAGAGGCTAGGGGCGACGGCCGCCGCGCCAGCGGTGCCCCCCAGCGAACGGACCGCAGGCGGGAGTTTACGCGGCATCTCACTGCGGCGAACAGTCAGCATCAAGGGATGAGAGGATCGTGGAACCTTTCCCATCGCCCGTATCCGAGCGCTCCATCAGCGAACCAACCAGCTCGCGTCTTGCCTGCGCCAGATTTAGGACTAGTCAACCCCGCTGCTCGACAGGTGCTCGGCCGCTCCGGCGAGCGCAGGAGGCCTAGCGCGGCCCGTGGCAAGCCTTTCGGCCCGCAGTGGCCCCTGGGCCGCCCCGCCGCGGCGGCCTCCAAGCCTCCGTCGCCTGCTACAACTGGGCCGCTGCGAGGGATGTCCCAGGGCGGTGAATGATCGCAATCATGCGCCGCGCTTGCACGGCAACGATGCTCCGAACAAGTGTGATAAAGACTGGTTTGGTAAAACACTTGTTCCGATGTTATGGCTGTTTTTGAACTTTTTCATTTTTTCCTATTTCCGCATCGCGCATGCCAGCGCGCGTGTGAACGCGGCGCTGCTGCCGCGGGTGCGCAGACGGAGCCCTCGAGCGGCCCTTTTGAGCGGTCTGCGCGGCGCTTGTCGCCTCGGGGCCTGGACGGACCTGCTGTCCGAACTGTTGCGCCTATCCGTTTTTTACTTTCTCTCCTCAGCCATCCCCCATCCCTCCTCTTCGCCCCCATCAACCATCACTACGCTTCCCTCCTCGCGGGATGCGGTCGTTTTCAAGATGTGGCCCTCGCCTTAGTGCCGCGTGGACTCGTCTCAAACATTTGCCACGCACTGGCGGGTGGAAGGGCGGCGCTTTTCCAACGGGGGGTTGTCGCCGTAGCGCTGCGCACATTCGTGTGGAAAGTTTGCACAGGCTTCACGGATGGAGGGCGGTTCCTTTTCAAAGTGGGGTTTTCGCCTCAGCGCCGCGAGCATTCGTCTCACATGCTCAAACCGTATCAAGAGTTGAGCAATTATGGCTGCCAGAATGGGGCTCTCGCCCCAGCGTTGCGCGCATTCGTTTCTGCACGCAACGTTTACCATGATTGTGTTGTTGCTTTGTTGGAGATTTCGCCTGGAACTGATATGAGGCGAACGACAGCAGTCTTCAAAGCACGTAGCGTTGCACGGGTCCATGGCGGCACTTTTTCAGAATTGTATTGTCGCTTGAAACGGCTTTGGAATTCATGGCTGCCGATGCAAATTTGTGAAACAGTTACACGGGTGGGGGGCGGTTCTGTTTCGAAAAGAGGATATTGTTGGACATTGCGGTAATGTGTGTGTTCATTGAGTTTCGTGCGTGTGATTATGTGCTAGAAAGACGCGAGGTATTTTTCCAACGGGGGGCCCCCGCCAAACGGCAAACCCAACGGTGGTGGTTCTTCAAGGGAGGCTGTAGTGAAATGGAGGAGTTTGGTCCTCTTCCGCCTCTTCCTCTTATTCGTGGGCTCATCGGGCGAGATTGGCGCGGCCTGGCCAAACAGGCGTAACTATGCCATAGGGGAGGAGAGATGGGGTGATGGAGTAGAACGGAGGAGGAGGAGAAGGATGAAGAAGATGAGAAAACGAAGGATGGGGCAAGAGGAGGAGGACGAGGAAGAGGAGGAAGGTCAGTGTAGCTCCAAGACGCATCACCGATATTGCCATACACCCAGTTTCCAAGCTCCCTCTTCATGAACCCATGCAAATATTCATTATCAATGAAAGGGGTGTCGTTGGAAAGCAACCGTTTGAGAATCTGGAACTGTGCCAAAACTTTCCTGTGACTTCAACGCCGCGGATCACCATTAAGGTTGCGGCTTGATGATTCCCAATCGTGCCCAAACACCTTTTCCTTGGACTTCAATACCGCCAATCAACGCCACTGTGGCGCCCTGCGTTCCGAAATCGTACCACAATACTTTTTTGGCACGTTAACCATGGTATTCCTTGAAACTCTTGCCAAGTCTCAGGACGAATTTACGCGGCGGTTTGGCGAGAGCCACACGTTGGAAAGGGACCGACCATCCAGCCGTGAAACCGTTGCACATGTTTTGGGAGACAATGCGCGCGGCGCTTAGGTGCCAGGAACATGTTGAAAACATTCCGCCCCCCGTCCGTGAAAGGCTTGTACACTTTGATGACGAATGTGCACGTCGCTAGGGCCAGAGCAACATTTTGAAAACGGGCCGCCCTCCATTCGTGAGGTCTTCCATTTTCTGAGGCGAATGTGCACGGCGCTAAGGCGAGAGCCACATTTAAAAAATGGTCCGTCTTCCATCCGCGAAACTGTTGTAAGTCTTAAGCTTTTGGATCATATCTGGTGAGGGAATCTCAGGCGAAACGCCCGGCCCGCTCTTTCGACCGGCTTCGGGGTGCGACAGGGAGTACTTCAGAAGGGAGCGGGATGGAGGATGGAGGGTGAGGATGGCCGGGTGAGGAGGAGGAGTGGGGAGGATGGAGGACGATGGAGTAGGATGAAGGAGGGACGGAGAGAGGGAGGCAAGAGGGAGGGAGGGAAGAGAAGACAATTGGGGGGTGAAGCGTGCACCGCTGCAGCCCTCGGGCGGTGTGAGGCTCCTGGACCCCAGGGCATACCACAGGACCAGCTTTTCATCCTGAAACGTTTTCTAACATCCTCATCCCCTTCGAGACCCCAACCAAATTACCCCGCCAGTTTGGGATACACCCCTCGAAACCCAAAGGGGCCGGCCTATCTCCCCATCTAGGGGCGTAAATCGGCCAGTGGGGCCCAGGCCACGCCGCTGGGGAGGGGGGTCGGATAAACGATGCTCATAGCCGCACCGGGGCTCGCAGATGGCCCTGGGTCCGACCCGAGAGCCGCAAAGTCCACGGCCCTCTTTCCCTCAGGGACCATGCCTCGAGGAAGAACATTGATGAGAAGACGCAACAAGGTACAAAGAAGTGTTCGTTTTCTTATTCATTCTTTTGCCGATCGGCGCGGGCCCTCGCAACCCCCCTCCCCCCCCCCTGGAGTGGATCCTGGCCGTTTTGGGCGCCTGTTTCGAGCAGGTGGAGTCTCTCCCCCCTAGGACGCACGGTTGCAAACAGCCGCACTAAGCAGAGGTCTGGAGCCAGACCCTTTCCCTCCCCCCCCTTCCGCCCAGTGTCGCAACGCCGAATCAAAAACGTTCACCAAGCTTTCGAAGGTCCGCGTGGATCTCCGCATGTTAGCGTCAGTGCGGTCTGTTGCCCCTCTATTTCTCTCCTGGCGGCGAGCGTTGGCGCCCCCCCAGGAGATAACGCACCGCTGCCAGAGGGTGCTGAACGCGGACGAGAAGTGCCAGCTGAAGTGCACCGCCGAGGAGGGCTTCCCGACGTGCCGCCTCCCCAAGCGACGTCGGAGTGGGCGGTCGAGGGGGAATGGGCTCGCACTCGTCGTCGTCGTCGTCGTCGTCGTCGTGGTTGTCGTCGCCGTCGCTGTCGCCGTCATCGTCGTCGTCGCCGCCGCGGTCGCCGTCGCCGTCGCCGTCGCTGTCGCCGTCCTCGTCGTCGTTGTTGCCGTTGTCGTCGTCGTCGTCGTTGTCGGCATCGTCGTCGTCGTCAACGCCCTCTTCCTCCTCCGATCCCTCCAGGGGCCTTGGGCCAGTGTGTTCCGCAGAGGACGGCGCCTGCCAGCGATTCGAAGCCAGTGTTTGTCCAGAGGACGGGACCTGCCACCGATGAGGTCCGAAAGAAGGCAGCTCCTTTTCGTCGCATCACCCGCTGTGTTGGTGAGGCGGTCCTGGTGTTTCGCCCTGGAACTCCTCGCAGCTCAGAATATCCTATCTTACCACTGCCATGGAGGGGGGCAGCCAGCCTTCGAAGTTTGGCTCTCGCCGCAGTGCCGTACGCGCTCGTCGTGGCGGTGTCTGGCAGCTGCGCGGATGGGGAGGCGGTCCTTCGGAGCATTCCCCGAGCGGTGCTTGCACTGAGTGGCTCTTGAGGGGGAAGAGGAGGAGGAGGAGGCGGAGGCGGAGGAGGAGGAGGAGGAGGAGGAAGAGGAGGAGGCGGAGCAGGAGGAGGAGGAGGAAGTCGGAGGAGGAGGAGGCGGAGCAGGAGGAGGAGGAGGAGGAGGAGAAGGAAGAGGAGGAGGAGGTCGGAGGAGGAGGAGGTCGGAGGAGGAGGAGGAGGAGGAGGAGGTCGGAGGAGGAGGAGGAGGAGGAGGAGGAGGAGGAGGAGGAGTGGGAGGACGCCTCGCGTTGAGTGGACGTGCCAAGGGTTCGACCGGTGCCCGCCTGTGGGCGCCTCGTGGGGGCCTCGTGCGCCGGGTGGGGGTGGTGCGGAGGCTTTGCCCGGTGCCCGCCCGCGTGAGCGCCTCGTGGGCTCGTCGGCGGGTGCTGGGTCTTCTCTGGCCCTTGTGCTATATGCCCCCTCCTTCCTCCCGCGTCCCTCCTTCCCCCGCCCTCCTCCTCCCGCCTCCCTCCTCCTCCCTCCTACCTCCTCCCCACACTCCTTTTTCTTTCTCGTTATTATTTCGCTCATTCTTTCTTCTCTCTTCCTCTCACCACTCCTCGTTCCTTTTATATTCCTTCTTCCTCCGTCCTCCGCTTTCCTCGTTGCTCCTCTGCCTCGAGGCCTCAGTCCGCGCAGGAAGGCACGAAGATACGATGGCGTGGACTAGGAGGATGACAGTATGAGGAGGAACACATTCGAGGATAGAGGGGAGGATGAGGAGGGGGAGGTGGAGGGGGAGGAGGAGGAGGAGGAGAAGAAGGAGGAGGAGGAAGAGCAGGATGGGACGGCACGGCGTAGGCTTTGTGACACTGTTTGGTCGATACATCAAGACAGCCGCCCTTGATAACGCCTCAGGAGGGGGACGATGCGGATGAGGCAAGCGGA